TCCATTGGACTGATTACACATGTGATTCAGAGCGTGGTCACGCTAAAGGCGTTCCCATAGCGTTTCGACACAGCATCTCGTTCCCTTCGGGGAACCATGGTTACATGCGTAACCTGGAGACGTTTTTTTATATTGAAAATCTGACTGAATAAGCCTCTTTATAGCAGCAAACATTAGAACACGTCCACAGAAGAGTCAGTGTAATCGAGTTCCGAACCTGCTGAAGCCCCGCCCCACTCCCCACACACAGATGCAGCTGATTGGCTGAGAGTGCAGGAGGGTGTGGTCGGCCGGGTGGATGAGGGTGAGAGTGACATCCTGCAGGACCAGCAGCATCGTCTGTGTCTGAATGAGAAGGAGAGAGACTCTCATGAGTTTATTACTGAGACCGGATGTGCTGGAGTCTCTGCGTCTGCGTCTCACCTGCGGCCTGTCCGTCTCTCTGCGCTGATGCAGCTGCTGGATGCAATCGCTGAGCACCGCGCCGCTCTTCCCAGACTTCACATCCGCATCCCGCACCTCCAGCCAGCCCAGATACTGGACCGGAAACACCTGCAATGTGAGCTCAGAGTCACATCTAAAGCAGACTGACAGCAGGAACACAACGGCCCGTCTTACTGTGAACGATTCGCCAGTACATTTCATTTCAAATAAAAACAAACACACGTCTGTCTTCATAATCTTCCATCAAAATGGAATAAGAGACATTTATAAACCGGATAGTTCCGGTCCTTGATTCTGATTGGCTGAGCCGCGTTCGAAGCTGTTGTAAATTACTCTACAAACATACACCTTTGTTTACGTTTGTGTGTTGCTCTGCAACCACTTTGTTGCAACCACAACTGATTCTGAGGAACTACATTGTTTGGTGGAAGAATACTGTTTTTATTAATATCATTACACTTTACTTGCTCTTTTTTATTTTGTGAAGCCTTACTACGTATATGGAATAACCATTTTATAAAAGCAATAATCCCCGTGAAGCCGTGGTTTACAGTGAATTTATAACAGCTAAGCAGCATTGTTAAGTATGACGTGAAGCGGAGTCTAAAACATTCTTAGCTGTTATAAATGTACTGTAAACCACGGCTTCTCCTGTAAACCACGGCTTCTTGGGGCTTATTGCTTTATTTTACCACACAATCAGTTCCTGCTCTACATTTATTTACTCTCTAAAAATCCATTTTCACATAAAGGAAGTAATGCAAGATGCTAAGAAAAGATCTTAAATATAAATTGATATTTTCCAGTTTTCTTTGTTTCATTGATTTTTTTTTTTTTTATGTTTCTTAAGTATTTTACATATTTCTCTATAAGATTTAAATAGTCTTAATAACAATAATTCAATGAATTGTGTGCAAAGACACAAAATAATAAAATATATATATATAGAAATCATATACCAGTGTTATTTTAGTATCACTAAGATACTATTATAGTTTGTTAATGTATTGAATTAGATTCTCTGTTTATATTTTTTGCTCTCATATTAATTTTAGTTAAAGTTTTAGTAAATTTCTTGTCTTTTTTATTAGTTTTGTTGTTTTTAAATATGTAATTTTTATTTCAGTTTTAGTTTAGTTATTTAAGTTAAACTAAATGAAAATGAAAACTGTTGCCTGAAATAAAATATTTTTATTTTAACTTTCGGTTAACATTTAATTTCAAGTAGTGAAAATGTTTGATTTGATTAAAAATTCTAATATTTTTCCATGAAAACTTTTTTATTTTTATTTTTTATGTCCATTAATGTACTGAGTACAAACACTTCCTGGTATCATTTAAAGCACCACACTTTAATAAAACACGTTTTACAGATATCTCAAAGTTGATTCTTCTCCTTTTGATAAATATACACGAGTAACTCTTGTGTGGCCAATCTTGTATACAGTCTGCTTCATAATAAAACCAATGATTCGATCTTTTATTTATAACAGGATTCACTTCATATCATTTGTTATGTTTCTTCAGTATTAATCCCTCTAAATCTGATTATTGTTTTATTTCAGATACATTCTTGTATATTAGACAATAGATGTTTCATGTTGAACTTGATGTCATTCTTCTGTTCCCACAATGCATTGCGTCAAACTGCTGCTGTCACACGTGCCCTGAATTCTGCTGCAGTCTCTCTATCTCTCACTCACTCACACACACGCACTCGCACTCGCACTCACACACAAACACTCACAGACACACACACACACACACACACACACACACACCAGACTCACCCTCACAGACTCACACACACAGACTCACACACACACTCACACTCACACACACACACACAGTGAGCAGCAGAGGGCGCCAGATCTCTTTATTCTCTCACTGTTATTACATCTTAATCCACAGAGCTCATGTAACCTATACAAGGTGCTTTGAACAGAAAACTGTGCGTTTATGGCCGCAGATTTATTTTTCAATGTCTTTCCATAATATCTGCCCAGGATATAACAAAAGTTATGTTGCTGTTATGTAATACTGATTTTATCTTCTTGGACAATGCTGTTAAAATATTTTGCTTGTCAGGCAAATTTTGTATCCATAAATCCAGACTGACAGCTTCTAAACTTATTTCTTCCCTAAAAACTTAAATTACAGAGAAAAAAGCCATTAAAACATCCCAGGTTTCAATTATGATTATCAAATTATAATTAGAACAACTATTTCAGGGTAGATTTATATTTATAATATTATATTTATTTAGTTTTTATACTTTATTTTACTTATTATATTATATCCTGTTGGACAATGATGTTAAAATTAATTAAAGCAACTATTTCAGGATAGATAGAAAAAAATTTGAATAAATAATAATAATAATAATTATTATATTATATTATATTATATTATATTATATTATATTATATTATATTATATTATATTATATTATATTATATTATATTATATTATATTATATTATATTATATTATATTATATTATATTATATTATATTATATTATATTATATTAATCTCCCTTGTTTCTATCTTTGTGTGAAAAAAATATTTTTAATGTAATAAATTATAATAATAATAATTATTATTATTATTATTTTATTTTTATTTATTATATTATATTTTTATCTCAGTTTTTTACATGAAATCACAGAGATAGAAAAAACTGAGATAAAAATGTAATATAATAAAAATAAAATTATAATAATTGTCAAATATCTAATTATCATTAGTCATTGTTTAATACTGATATTTTGGTGGGCATTCTCTTAGTGGCAAATTGCATTGTTAATGTTTGATAATTACAGTAAAAACACCCTTCTGTGAGGCGTTAGTAACTAATGAAGTGCTTTGTGTGCAGGTTTACCTGCGTCTCCGGGTCGTTGCTGGGGATGACGGTGTCTGCAGGGGCTGATGGGACTTTAGCTCTGCAGAGGAAAGCAATCAGTGTGAAGCTGGATGATGAATATGACACTCAAGATGATGTGTTTGCGTTCACCTGTGGTTGATGAAGCTGTACGGGCCCAAACTCCCTCGGTTCATCTGTCGCTCTCTCGCGCCGTACTCGCATGTCTCCGTCAGGTCCTGTACAGAGCATGTGTGCACTGCTGATTATTCGGTGTAAAGTGCTGTGTTAGTCGTCGCGGCGTGTGTTTTGTCAGTGTTTACCAGGTAGTTGTTGTTGAGGAATCTGGCGGCGCGTCCCATCGCCTCATAGCACAGCGAGGAAGAGGAGGGTGAAGAGGCTGCGGATGAAGGGACGGGTTCAACAGAGCTGTCCGACACGATACTGCTGGGCCGCTACACACACACACACAGAGGAGGGTGCGGATGAAGGGACGGGTTCAACAGAGCTGTCCGACACGATACTGCTGGGCCGCTACACACGCTACACACA